TTTTAAGCCTGTTCTGAGAGCTCAAGGCTATTTCCACTGAGAATTCATCTCTCTTCAGAGGCAATGCCTCTCTCAGTGCTTATTAATACATCTAATGCATTAGTGACAGTGTTTAAGTGGACAAAAGAGAACTATAGCTGGAGGAAAAATATCATATGAGAAATAAAATGCCACATTTAAACATTTCAGTCTCTGTCAACTGCATTCAGCAACATGAGAGAACAGCTAAATTCCACCCGAAAGGGTGAATATAATTACTACTTAAAAAATAATAACAAACAGCATATTACTGTGTTTTTACATTTACTGCATAGTAATGAACATGTGTGCATGAAGCTCACTTGGATGTTTATGGCTTCAGGTATTTTTATGGATAGATTTCCTATACATACCAGTGCATGTATGAGTGACAGTTTTCATGATCTCATAGTTGTACAGGAAACTGTTTCTTTTGATACCTGATTTTTGTGACCTCTACAAAGACCCAGCAGAATTGAGGCCTCTTTTTAAGCTCAGCATCCAAAATTATAGCTGGTAAATTTCCCTCTGAGGGTAAACAGACCGTAATATTCAAGTAATAATGAATTTCAGAAGTTCTTCAATAAAAGTTATAGTTAGCATAGGTATTAGAAATAAGCAAAGAGGAAATGTACAAGGAGCCCTTTAAAATAGAGTCGAGTGGACCTGGAGTAAGTGATACCTCTTGCTTAAAAACATCTCTCCTTTTAACATGGTTCTAGAATTCCAGCGTTTTCATACCTGTCATGTTACGGAGACAATCTGTTCCTCAGGGTACAGCCCCATATTGTCATCTCATTTTATGTCTCTGTGTTGAGACAAGCCTATATAGAATCTAGCACCCGTCCCTTGACTGGCGCTTCAAAGCATTCCCCTTTTAAAAGCAAACAATATGTTACAGTCTGCCAGGAAAGTACATCTGCTGCTTCAGATGACGTAGCAGAAAGCTACAGCCTGTGTGACATTGTCCTTGGGCCAGCTGGAGTCACTGCAGATAATGTGATTGCCCTGACCAAAATAACATAAGCTATATATTTATAACACTCACATTTGTTATTTCATTTACAGATTTGTTTGGTATGAAGAAGCAACTCTTTGAACATGTTGGGGGAGCAATGAGGTATATATATAACTACCATCAAAGGTTTTCTTGCTGCAGCCAAGCACTAAATATCTTTGACATACCCTTTCAAGAAGCTTGTCTGTTTTTTTAAATTATTAAATTGAACAGGTTCCACAGAAAAACAAAAGCAAAGCAAACAAAGAGGAAAAAACCCAAAGAAAGTATATAAAAAAACTAGCATTCCAGTGGCTAAAGTGTGTGAAAGTGGAGCACTGAGGTTAACTGGCACTCTCGCGTCCTCTAAGTCTTGTGTGTGGGGACAGGTAATCTGATTGAGCCAGTCTATATGCAACTGAATCACCCAGATGGAAAAACCCACACACTTTATATGAATACTGATCACTTTATAGAAGCTATTCTTTTGTTCGTGCAGAGGGTGTGTGATGACCTGGGATTGTTTCCTGCCCAAGCAAAGAACAAAATTGAATCTACTGCACAGGTGGAGTACAGAACATGGTTCTCCATACACACCGGATCCTCATGTCATAAGGACAACCTACTTTTAAATAATGAAAAGTTATGTATTGCTTTGTAAGGAAGCAGATGACATGGTATTCATGGTTCGTAAGTCATCTTAAGCAAACATGCATTAAGATGACTTATTGATGACATTTTCAGGTAAGCAGTTAGGAGCTCTGGTGCAATAATCACTGCTTTATCTTTGAGAGGAGAAATTCCTTGTGCCACCAGAGATACAGCTGCTACTCTTACTACTGCGACAAATGAACAGCCTGTTCCAAATCCTCTTTGGAGCGGAAAGAAAAGCTACTGTTAACTGTACTGGGGTTTGCAGTAGCATCACAACACAGCAAAAAGAAACATTCACCCAGCAGGATGTTCCTCCCTCCTTCAGTAGCTGCCATGTGCTTCCTCCGAGCTCTGCAGTCCTCCTGGGTTGCTTCCAGCACAATTTTAGATGAATGCCTATCTGTGTGGATAGACGAGATCAGCTCCTTCCTGTCTTGTTGAAAAGATGGTGCATACACAGGTTGGCTGAAACTAGAGCTGGGATCTAGCAAGACCTCTCTGTACTGCCCCTGCTTCATGGTTGTATGCTTTGCCCATTGGCATCTATTATTCTCCATGACATGAGAATTCTATAAAAACTTAAGGCTAAACTAACACATTGGAGTGTCATGGAATAAAGCAAGTAGAAAATTCCCATCTAATCTATTTGGTTTGAGAACACGACCTACATTCCAGTACCCATGGCTACATGGGGAGGAGCTTTTTCCTTTCTCATTATTGTGTAATCAGACTCAAGATCATCCCAGTACATTCATAACAAGAAATACCCTCTGAGTGACTTGATATATTGCAGGTTCTATTCTTTAATTATTCTGTGTGTTCTGATGTTAGGTGAAAGCATCTGAGGAATGGGAATAGAGCTCACAGTCTGCAGGCTCAGTTTTGATCTATAGCAAAAATGCTGTTGGTAAAGAATAAGTGGGATCTTAGTTTTCCATCTCTAGGATCCTGGGTAAATACTACCATGCTAAGTTATTTCTAGAGGCAAGGGCTGCAATATGTAGAACTAGTTAGAACAGGAGTTATCTTTTGGAGTCTTTTTTTCCTGTCTAATATATTCTTTTTTTACTTCCTTCCTTATGGAAGCTTAGATCTGATACTCCAGCTCATCAAAGGGTCACTTTAAAAGGTGGCATGTGAGGACACCAGGGAATTTCTTCTGCATTTGGTCTGAAATAGGAAGTTTAGAAAAAGAAAAAACTTGTTTGTTCTTGTGCTTGCTACAAGAGAAATGGGATTTTTTGGGGTCCCATATTCAATTGGACCGGGATTTTCTGCCAAAATACTGCAATGTTCTTTTCTGTTAGTAAGAAACTTCCTGTTCAAATGAATTTGCAGTATGTTACATTCATTTTCTTGCTGTTCCTATACAACAGCGGTAACTGCTTTGATTACTGTCAACATCATGTTGATTTATTGAAACTGTTTGCTTTTTAAACTCTGATTAAAAAGACTCAGGGTGTGGAATTCCAGCCTATGGTTTTTCACTCCTTCCATAGATCTTATGGTTTTGAATAGGGAAGGATATCCATTTGTGTCCCCTTTTTCTTATTTCTCCCATTAACACAAAGGTTGCTATTCTCAAGTCTTGATGAGAAGAAAATACGGACGTGGTGAACAACTCTCTCTTCTTTCAGTAGAAAGGTTTGTGCAAAGAGCTCTGTCACAAGCTAGAGAGTGCAATAGTATCCCAGGCATCAGTGCAGTCAAAGGCACACTCAAATGCTCCTGTATGTCAGCTTGTATACAAGACACTCTGTACATGAATACTGCAGCTTCTGGATCTCCAAGTGCCTCAGAGGATGTTGGAAACAGTGCGTCTCCTTTGCCTTCCAGGCCAGCTGCATAGGCAGGAGGTTTCAGAGGTGTGCAGAGCAAGTTGCCTCACCATCTGCTGTACATCACCAGTGCACCCCAGGCTCAGCGGGGACAATGGAGCATGTATTCAGGTGGCAGGTTGCCTAGAGGAAACCTTGGCCATGCTGACTGTTGTCCTGTTCTGCTGGTAGCTTTTACTACGTTGTCAGTGAGAGGAGCCTGGGAAAGACCAAAGGCAACAGAACTTTAGGCAAATATGACAGATACAGGTTGGCTTTTAGGGATCAAAATTGAGTGCAGTCATCATTAAAAGGTCAAGGAAGTCATTGGATCCATAGTAGATTTTGCTAAAACTCCCTCTTAAATCAATCTGACAGCTGGGCTGGACCAGTTTGCATCACTAACCTTAGAAGCCTGGGTTTAATAGTAAAATACCATACACCAGAGCTGTTCAGCCACAAAAAAAAGTGAGATTCACAAAAGCAGAGGAGATCTTATTGCCACATATTCGTTATTTAGAGACATAGTGGTTATATGGTAGAGCTGTGTGATGGAAACACCCTTTAGACTGTGTGCACACAGCAGTTCAGAGTCAAACGCTGGGATCCATCCTGTGATCACTTAGCAAAGAGTAAAAGTGTCTCAAGGAAACCAGCAGCAGTTCTGGCATTAATGCACAGCTCTTGTATTTCCCCTTTACGTTCATATCCTTAGCAGCAAGATAAAAACCATCTTGCCAACAGCCACACAGATTTAATTCATGTCATTATTTGTTCCATTCTAGCCCTTTTAACACACTCTCCTGATTTTCCCATTATGAATGAAGAGGGTTATGTGCAGTGAAGTGTAAGCTTTTACTGCCCAGTATCAAACTATATTCTCATCGGGGTTTAAAAATGGATTTTTTCTTGGCTTTCACTATGAAAAACCCAGCTCTAGGCATTCCTCAGTAATGCATGGAGGAATAATATCTACCAGACTGCATGTCCTTATGACAGGCAGAGAGAGAGGGTGAAAGCAGGTCACAGACAGACAAGCATCCATTAAACATAAGCCTCTGTTTTGACCAGAAGAAAAATACAACTGTAATTTTGGAACTACATGGAAAAAAGTGGTGTGGAATGAACTTCAGTATCCCTGTTAACCAGGTTTGGAGTCAGAATTTGTGTTCAGATGGAGTAGCTGGGCAGTGCTTCCATGTTTTCAGATTTAGATGCATCCAGGGTTCAATATTGGCTTTTTTTATCTTAATAATCCTTGTCCTAGGTCACACCTGACCCGCTGGAAGACCGAAGGTGAAATTAATACTAACTTGATTACCCACTTGAGGGGGTTGTATAATGGCTTTTGGGTAGTGACAGATTTTGTTCCATTGTTTTCCTTATTTTTCTACAAATTCGTAAATGTAGAATTAACCCTAAAACTTCTCTTCAGCCATTCAGTCTCTGACCAGAGCAACAGAAGGATTCACTAACAGTCCACTGATTTGTTTCCCTTTTCCTCTTCTTTGCAGGTCTCCATGAAATCCAGTGTTCCCTGCCTGTAGAAAACAGAAGAATCTTTCTGAATGAGTTATCTGAGGTCAGCTTTAGTGAATGCAAATTTAGTTTGTCATTGACAGACCTGTTTTTCATCATCTTCTCTGGAGTCGCAGTCTCCATTGCTGCTATTCTCTCAAGCTTCTTCTTAGCAACTCTAGTACACTGCTTCCAAAGATGTGCTCCCAGTAAAGATGACGATGATGATGAAGATGATGGTGAGGACGGAGTTGGTGCTTGCATCCAAGACTGTTAGCTTTGCTTACATATGTAACCTGGTGCAATGAGACAGGCTCAATTTCTGTGATCCTTAATCAAACACTGCATTTAAAATGGAAGATTGGAGGGAAAAAGGGGGAAAGGTAAAAAAAAAGCTCCAGTGTTTTAAAAGACGAATAATTCTTGGCTTCCACCTCATCCTTCTGGTGAGATGCAGATCCCTGTGAGGGCTTAATAACGTGTTCTAATCACACTTTGAAAAGGACTGGTGAGATGGAGGCATTTCAGCTGGAAAATAGGGAAGCAATTAAAATAGTGTCCTTCCTGGGTCTAAGTAGTGAGAGATTCTCTTAAGCTCACACAAGTAACAAAAAAGGATTCCTGGAATTAGAGAAAGCATTAGAGGAAGGTTGGCATTTTCTCTCTACAAATGTTCTTTATAAGCATTCATCCTTCATTTAGTGTCAGCAGTTGCAGGCATCATTCAGCCAAAAGAAACTTTTTCTATAAACCCCACGATTCTGTGTCTGAGTCATCCACTGCAGCTGCCTGACACCTCTTTAGTTATGGCACAAATACTGAGTTTAATGTTCCTTTGCATTTTTAGATGCAATGAAGTAAAGGATTTCCATTCCCTGTAATGCCAGGCACAAAGAACTGTTGCAGTATCCAGTCTATTTAGTTATTTTAAAATACCAAGGGCTATATTTGGCTCCTGATTATACTAGAGTAGCGCAACTGAAATGAACACCATGATCTAAATTGGCAACTGTATAAACAAGAGTGGAATCTGGCCCAAGATGTTTCTGACTGTATTATAGATTTGTCAAAACTTGAGCTCTTCTATATAAGGGTAGATATTTTTGTTAAAATTTAAAAAAAGACATTTATTACACAAGTTTTTTGGAATAGTGCTGGACAGCTTTTTAGGATAAGTATATTTTTAAAATATTTGTAATGGAAATATTTTTTTAAAGCTCTGTATTTAAATATCTAGAGTAGCTGTGAGGGCTTAATAACATAGTAGTAAATGATCTAAGGACTGTATGCTATTATCAAAGAATTAGATCTGATAAAAAGTAGCATCTATTTAACCACTGTAAATGCTAAAACACTCTTTGGTTAAAATATTGCCTTGCTCAGCTAATATGAATGGTCTTTTATGGACAGTTAGTTCCAAATCTCTTCTGTTGTGCGTAATGTTCAGGCAGACAGGAGTCAATCACAATGAGTGTTACGGGGTAATACAGCCCAGTCGCCAAGGGCCAAGGTCAGGATGTGGCACTCCGGGGTCTTGTCTCCATCTAACAACGATCAAGTAGGAGACCTCCAGCAAATCACTATCTGCCTGGGCCTCAGTTCCACTACCTGCAAAACAAAGATCATAATTATTTTGCTTTCTCAAGTGCTTTGAGATATGTGGGGTGGGGACACACTATACAGGGGCAACGTGTATTGTTTATAGACGCTAGGCTGAAGCAGATGTTACACAGTAGGTCTAGTCTGATCTGATATCAAGGTGACTTCACTGACATCAATGGCGTTAATCCAGTGGCCAACTGCATTTGCAATGGAGTTTGCACCATGCTGAGGTCAAAACCAGGACGAGAGTGTTTATTTCTGTTAGCTGTACAGCTTACTCAATGCCACCCAATGCTACTGTTGTTAAGACTGTTTCTGCAAACACATTGAAACAGAATGAAGTAGGGCAGTGGGAGGATATTCTGTATCGATACTGTCTTATTCTATTCTGATTCTGTCCAGAAAAATGAAATGACATGATTTTCACTGTGTAGTGCCATGATTATAAATAACACAAATATATTTATAATTTCAACATGGGCTTTCATGTTTATTTGTACGTGGGTATGAAAAAAGGAGAAAAACTGTGCCTGATTCATCCTTTCTAAGCAGGGTTTTGCCATGCGGTTGGACATCCACAACTTGCTGCCTGGTGCAATTTGTGAAGTGTGTGCCTTGGCAACGAATACAGATGTTATCAACAGTTTATATTTGGAGCTGTGCAAATTATTCAGTCGTAGAACAAAAAACTGGGTCACACTTTTTTGTCTGTTTTATTATGGACTCAAAACCTGTCATCAGTTAGTAAAATGATTTGTCCTACCACACTTTTCAGTGAGACATCAGTGAATGTTTCAGCAAGTGTCTACCCTTCCTTTGGTAACAAACTTACGGGTTTGGTTTTGTTTCGTAAGGCTGAGTAATGTTGCAGAGGTCACATCTCAAACTCAACTATTTTGACTGGGTTCTGCTCTTACTTGCAGGTTCATCCTACCATGGTGCTTCAAAATGAAGATCTAGATTTGTTTGTAGTTTGTAGCTTTTTGTTCAACACAACATAAAGCCCTGAAAGCACTGATTGTATTTGGAACATAGGCACCCTTCAGAACAGCAAGGAACAGACCAAGCTGACACCCACATAATCCAGTGCAAGTTGAAGAGCAAGGCTTAGTAAAGCTTTACTTATGAACCTGCCATTCTGGATACTCCATCACATCAAAGTGATTTTGCAATGTATGTTTTTTTCTGGATAAGAAACCCTAATGATATTTTCCCCTATTAAGTAATGTGTATTTCATAAGTATTGAACTCATCCAGTTAGTAATATTTATTCATCACAAGCATCAGCAGTTACCTACTATTAATATTGATTTTGCATGATTCTTATTGCTAGCGAGAGAGAACTTGGATTTAGTTCTTACTGGGAGTTTTCTTACTTTATGTAATCATCAGAGCAAAACATTCTCCTGTTGGGACATTGCCAGAACCAGTGATCACCATGATGATCCCTGGAAAACTTTGAAAGCAAATTTGTGGCCTAAAGGCTTCATTATTACTGCAGTTTTACCTCCACAAAGGTAGTAACATTGAGGTAATCCCTTCTCCAGCTTTGTGGATGTGGGAAGCATTCCCATGCCAGGATGCTCCTGTGGGTGGAATCCAGTGCTCCCTTCTCAGCCTGCGGTAACTCCCATTAGATTAGTGAAGCTACAGTGGTGCCAAGTGTAAGAGCTGAATTTAGCTCCCTGTGCAGTACATTGCTAGCTTGAGAGGCACTGCCTGGAGGTGATTCTAAATGTGCAGTAGAAAGTTTGTCTTCATTTCCAGTTTTCCTTCTAAAATGGCTTTACCTCAGGTGGTATCTCTTGCTCTCAGGAAAGAACAGACATTTTACCTGGTTCAAGGGGAAGGAAAGATACTCTGCGTGACCCAAATAAAACATTGCAGGCTCCAAGAGCCAGGAAGCAGCTGTCACGTTGCCTGCAGATCTGTCTCCTCGATGAAATGCTGGAGCTTGGTATGTGTGAGGATCCAAAAAATGCGCAGGAAAGCAAATCTGCATGATGTAATTGAGATAAGGTCTGGCTGTTTAGAAGTGTGTGCTTTGCTTTACATGAAATCTCCTTTAATCCACAGTATTAAAATGAAGCTCACCTGAAGGCACTGTCCAAACTCAGCATTTCATCCTCAGTCAACCAGCATCTTTTTGGGGCAGCTTCAGTCCTGCTGGGGTTCTTACTCAGATGTGAATATTAATGGATCAGTTTTTAGAGCAGCATTAAAATGCTTTGGTAAAGTACCTTGAAGGGATGGTTCTGGAAGCTCCTAAAGATGAGCACACCTCTGGTGTATAGTAGAGAGTGAGCCAGTGTACACTGACAGTGAAAATTTAGCGTGGCATACATAGAGGTGATCAAAAATGGTCCTGTCTTTCAGCAGTGGGAAGAACTCTGTGCAATCACCTGTATATGTGGATAGGGTGTGCACACTTGTGCAGTAGGGTGAAGGTTGTGTGTATAACAATACTAGAGCTTGCTGTAACTATCACCCTTGTAGACAGCCTCAGTGGAACAGCTGAAGCCTGATGGGGATGCTGAGCCTGAGACAGTCCTTCATCCCCAGCGGAGATTCCTCTGTCCTGGCTTCAAACCCGCGGGAGCAACTCTATGCAGGACCTTTTCCTGATCAGTATGAGCTGCCTACCTGCTACGTGAGTAAACTACTTTAGTTTCCAGGGCTTCTAGTTTGTGTGTTTCTAAGTTCAGCTCATGTAACCCAAAATAAAGGAGCAGGGGTTTGGATATCTTCCAAATCTGACCGTTTCTCTCGGAGAATGATGTTATGTGTAGTGTAACCTCATTTACTGACCTCTAGTGGCATCTGGGATGCTCTGCTGTGGAGGTAAGTCCTTGTGGTTCCATGTGGTAATACTGAAATGCTGAATCCCTGCATACTCTTTGCAAAAAGAAACCAGAAATACACATTAGGGATTTAAATTTCTTGGAGAGTAAGATCTGCCATGGACTCGAAGTGCCAAGCAGCCTGTAATATGCATGAGCCACTAGAAGCACTCACTTCGTGTTTAACCTTGTTAAGCATTTAACAAGGTTAAACATTTAGTAAGATTAACGTTGATAACGTTTATTTTGTTTAACCTTGGAGCAATACAACCTTGTCATAGAAGTGTAGAAAATAGCTATGGCAGAACCTCAGATACATCATCTAAGGATAGATGATGTTTCGTAATAAAAATATTTGGGTTTCTACTCAGATTCCTGCTCTCATCTTGCCATCATCTTTCCCATTGTGTCTTGGTTACTGTATCTTCATATCTTGACTGTGTCTAGAGCAACAGAATCCCAGTTTGGTACTGTTACTGCAGGGTACAGCAACACAAATCACCACCAGCAAGAGCTAACCAGCAGACTTGGACAAACAGTTTTATTTATGTTGACCAACCATGCATCTATGTAAAGTGTTAGCAGGAAAAAAATATTGCATTTTAAGATGATAGAGCAACAGGAGACCTTCTGTTGCAAAGCAGAATGCCTGAATTATCATGTGTCTTTCCAGTTCCCATCAGTTCTCACACCCTACCCAGAGCTCCATGAAGCCATGTGAAATTGTGTAACTTTGGCTCAACAAATGTGCTTTTTTGGGGAGTTGTCAAAAAACATACGAGTAAACACTTGAGAGCAGGCTTCTACTGTTAGTCTTGTGGGAAGTGAAAAGTTT